CGAAACAACATATCATGGCGGGGTTGTCCTCTGCTTTTTCAATCTCTGCGGCAAACACCATATCCTCTGCTTTGCCGCATGCGCTGCACCTATATATATACATACAGGTCCTCTGCTTTCTGACGGAGCAGCACTGTTCGTATGTAGTATTTATGCATGCATGGTGGCAAGTTGGTGGCGCCATCCACAAGGAATGGATTCGAACAAAACATGCCAGCCTATGTATGTACTCCCTCCGTGGATGTGACCCCAGCAGGCCAGCTTCATTACTTTGTGGTAGTTCCGGCGCTCGGCCTGTGTAGATTACTGATTTTTTTTCTTTTGTGAATAGATTAGTGAAGACTTAATTAAGCGGGCATGCATGTGATTCCAAATCTTTTAACGGCGTTGTTATATTACATTGATGAACGAGAAATATACAAAGGACCTGTCTCAGTCAGCTTGGTACTCCTCTACTCCATTCAAGCTTGACTCCATTCTCCCAGCTCTACTCCTATACATGGAGAATCGCTTCCTGCTGGACTTGGATCATCCGTTCACGCATTCTCTTTTCCACACTTTCATTCCGCAAAGAGCCCTGCAATAAGAAGTTGAGGTGAGCACTTTCCTTCGCCGAAGTTTTGTCCACCTCCATTCCATGCACGACCGAGTACGTAGCATTATATAGTTAATTTTTATACCATGCTATGTTGTGCTCTTTAGGGATAATTGATGCAAATCTGTGCTTATATATCTATGATCTACTACTAGCAGGTAGATAGGCTTGAGCCATGGTGGCCGCCCTGGATGCTTTAGCACCCTACGTGAAGAAGCTTATCGCGGACATGGCACAAGAAGAGGTGTCCGTGCTGCTTGGCGTCTCCAGCGAGATCACCAAGCTGGAGGACAACACGGAAGGCCTCAAAGCCTTCCTCAAAGATGACGAGAGTAGGCGCATCACCAACACGAACGTGCAAAGATGGTCGACAAAGCTCAAGAACGCCATGTATAATGCTACTGACATCCTCGACCTGTGCCAGCTCAAGGCTGACAAGCGGAGGGAGTCTAGAGGCGGTGTCAATGTGGAGCATAAGTCGCCCGGCTGCTTCCAGCCATTGCTCTACTGCCTGCGGAATCCCGTGTTCGCACACAAGATAGGCAGCCGCATCAAGGAGCTCAACCAGAGGCTGGAAAGCATCCACAAGGAGGCGGACAAGTACAAGTTCAATATAGGCCTCGGTTCTAGCCCGGAGCCAAGGAAGTTAACTGCTGCTGAGTTATCCAGCTATAGGACAAGTTCACAAGTCGACGAGTCAGCCATAGTTGGGGAACAGATAGAGAGGGATACAAGGGGGCTCGCTCAGGTGCTAACCTCAAGTGATGATAATCACAACATCAAAGTCGTGTCTATAATTGGTGTTGGTGGCATGGGAAAGACTACTCTTGCTCAGAAGATCTTCAATGATGCAACCATCCAAGAGCACTTCAAGACGAAGACGATATGGCTAAGCATCACTCAAAAGTTTGACGAGGTTGAGCTACTGAGGACAGCAATCAAGCATGCTGGAGGCGACCATGGTGCTGAGAAGGACAAAAACACTCTGACGGAGACCCTATTCCACACCCTGTCCAGTGGAAGGTTTCTGCTGGTGATGGATGACGTGTGGAGCCAGAAAGTGTGGAACGACGTGCTTAGTGTCCCGGTCAGAAATGCTAGCAAGAAACAACCTGGAAGCAGGGTCCTTGTCACCACAAGATCTGCGCACCTACCCCAACAGATGCAAGCCCCTAGAGAATGATGATGCTTGGTCTTTGCTTAAGAAGCAGCTGCAGCCTGATCAGGTTAGTTGTCTATCCATACTTTATACAACTAGGCTATATACTTGCTTTTGATAGAAAGCATATGGATCGGAGTTCCGCTAAATCTAAGCATTCGTGCTAGGAACACCAGCTTATGAGAGTAGCAAAAGGAGACCAGTAAAACTATGATCTAGAAGAAATAATCAAATGTAACAACAAAACACTTGGATCAAGTTAGCTATTATTCACTCCAATGAAAGATTTAGTGTATGGCTAGCTCCGTATGAAATCTAGCTATTTGAAATTTGATGGTATTTGAAATGTAACATCAATTATAGTGGAAGTTAATAGTGACCAAAATACACCTGACTATTATAGTGCAACAATTAAAAGTTATCTAAAATATTCAAAACTTTTGCATATGAAGTTGTATGAACATAAACTTTAAATATAATCAAAATTGTAGAGCTTAATAATATCTATAGCTTTGTAATTGACAAATTCTTTGTTCCAAACTATTTAGGTTGCCAAAACTTCCTTTGAAATTATCAAATTTTGACAAAATCTATAAATATAAATGATCTCATATATTGACATGGTATATACAAAATTTGTAGTTATCAGTAGGATCTAAACTTTGTAGATGATAATTTTTTATCTGAAGTAATATAGAGTCTCTTCTTAAATTTTGAAATCCAAAATTTAGGAATTTCAAATTACTTCGAACATTGGAACAAACATTTTAAAAATGTTAAATTTCAAATTTAAAAATATAAAATAATAAAATGAATATTCAGCATTCTAAATGACTTAAGATATTCTAACTTTGAATTTAATATTTGGGAATTTGATTTCATACTATAAATAATTTTCAATCCAAAACTTGTCAACAACAAAATTATAGATCTCACAAACCACTACAATTTTGATATAAAGTTCGTCTTCATCCAACTTTATATGCAATTATGAATTTTCGGATAACTATTAAAGGTTTGTATTATAATAGTCAGGTGCATTTTGGTCACTTTTAACTTCTCTCTCCAAAGTAGTCCTTAGAAATATTATTTTAATAGCTACATTGTCTAAGAACCAATTACCAGCATTGAAAAGTACTTTGTAGCCAAGACAACAGTGAGCAGTGTCCCTTAGCAAAGACCACCATTGAAGAGTGCCCTACCGCAAATCTTTACAATATGGCACACTTTTAATATGTTGGTCAATCTAAGTGTCCTGGTCATATAGAAGAACCATGGTCAAATTACATTTGAGCGGGCGGAGCCTCCTTGAGTGGGCGGAGCTCGCTATAGCGGTCGGCGACATAGGCCAGGCTCCCAAAGATGAGGATCTGGCCCGGAGCGAAGGTGCTGACCGTGACGAAGAACTCGCCAGGGAAGCGGACGCCACCGTCTGGGGCGGCGCCGCTTGCTCCGGCGACGAGGCGGGTGGCTCCGGCCACTATAGAGCAGGAATCACACTTGACGTGCTCCCCTACCTAGAGCGCCAGCTGTCACGGGATCAGAATCGCGGCAAGCATTGTTGTTCGTATTAGTGTCAGAGTACATGTCTCCAGTGTCTTGGTGGACTCAAGAACAAGAGAATCAACAGAGGGAACGCAACGGTTTATCCTAGTTCAGGCTCTCGGGTCCCTACGTCCAGCAGCTGATGATCCTTATACTCAAGAGCACCCAAAATCTTTGGGTTACAACAGAGTGTAAGAGAGAGAGAGATTTGTAGGGGATCGCTCGGTGCTGATCCTAGGGAAGCCTCGCCGCCTTCCCCTCGCCGAAGAGGAGGACGATCGGAGGAAGGGGAAGGAGCTCTCGGTGCCCGTCTCTGGGTGGATTTGCTCTTGGTGCATAGCACGAACTGGTTTGCTGAGGAGTCCAACGATCCGTCTTTGGATCGTCTGGAATCGTCCACTGGAATCGTCCTCTCCCATCTTAGGATCCGACCTCCCCTTACATATCAAGGTAGGTCGGGTACATGACGGGTTGTGAGAGTTTAGCCTATGGTCTACATGCGCCGGAGTCCAGGAGGGTCTTGTCGTGCCATCATGTGGACTGTGGCGATGTCGTAGAGCCGAAGAAGCCCTGGGCATCGTCTGGCTACTCTGTTCTGACACGCTGAATGTCAGGCTGTGTTGGCTTGGACCGGTCTTCACCAGGTGCGTCTTCTAGAGGCTTCTTGGTGGCGAAGACATCCGGCTTGGGGGGCTGACGCGCAAGCCCGGAAGCCCTGGAGCCCCTAAGGCTAGCGGAGGAGTTTGGCTTCTTGCGTCACGCCCAGTGCGTGACCCTTTCAGAGGAGCAATTGACAGCGCCACGCCTGCGGGGCAGTGCCGGGAAGGAGCTAAGGATCGGGTCCATGCTCCCTTCGATCCGGAGCCTGGGGTGTGCTCAGGCTCGGCCCAATGCCTTAGCCGGAGGGTGCGCGCGTGCGCACCGGATGGGTGTAGCCCCCGAGCGATCCGGGAGGGGTCGGTCGTGGGATCTCTTAGTCGAGAACCCTTGATCCTGAGGCTTAACATATCTCTATATTTGGATTTCGTCAATAAGCAACCTCTAAATATAACGTTTGTCTAAATTATCCACCTATGCCATTATAAACAATAATGTAAAGTACTCTAAAATTTACAACTAAATTACTCAGTCTACCATTTCTTATAAACCAAAACGAAGACCCTAAGTTTGCATATAAATGAATATTTTAATGCATCAAGTGCGTCCTAGTAGATAATGCCCAGATTTCAACTTTCGACTATCCTAGTCGTCCTATAGCTAATAATACCACGTAGCTGCCACACAACAAATTTAAAACGCAAAGAGACCATTTAAAGTCCGATTCCTGTAGCCACAAGAAAACTTTTTTTTTTGCTAGGAAAGCCACTACAAAACTTTCTGTAGTATAGTCCTGTTTCCCGAATGAGAACATTTGAAGCCCAATTGCAATGCACGGATTCCATATATTAGTCTTATGGGATTTTGCGCCCATTCATGCGGATTCCATTTGAAATCGGCCCTTTCCAAGCATAGTCTTGTGCTTATTTTCGAATAAAGGTCGGTACACTTCCAATACGTTGGCCAACCTACGCTTCATTGTTTTATAGAAGCTTATTTGCTTAGAGAAGTACATAAGCAACCTGATAGTTGTTAGAAATAATTAAGAAGCTTTAAATTAAATGTTGGCAGGTAGATGGAATTGATCAACTGAAAACTATTGGGATGGAAATTCTTGAAAATTGTGATGGCTTACCACTTGCAATTAAAGTGATTGGAGGACTCTTGAGCACAAGATACACAAGTGAGCATGAGTGGAAAGCTGTTCTGAACATGCCTGCATGGTCACTGACTGGACTGCCTCTAGAACTAGACAACTGGCTGTACTTGAGCTACGAGGATTTGTCTCCCCAATTAAAGCAGTGCTTTTTGTATTGCTCGATGTTCCCTAAAGGTGTAGCAATCTTACAAGTCGAAGTTACTGAAATGTGGATAAGTGAAGGACTTATTCAACCACCAGATAAAAGAAGAAGTACCAGTTCACATGAGTATGGGTTGGAAGACATAGCAACTGAGTATTACCTAGAGTTAATAAAGAGGAATCTTATGGAACCTATGGAAGGATATTCTCTCACTGGATACAAGTGCACCATGCATGATGTGGTCCGATCCTTTGCTGAATATATGGTAAGAGAAGAATCAGTTGTGATGGTTGGCCAAGAGCAGGCTACTACCAGTGGTGGTGGGATGCTTGTACGTCGCCTATCTATAGGACAAACCGTATCAGTGGTGGAATGGGCTGTTTTGCAAAGGCACGAGTCACTTAGAACATTAATTGTAAACTCTAGGGTAAACTTTCATCCTGGTGATTCGGTGGGTAGTTTCTCCGGTCTACGTGTGCTGTACATACTATCTGCCGATTCTGATACACTAGTTCCCTCTCTGTCTATGTTGAAGCACTTGAGATACCTTCACTTAGAGGATACTGATATATCTAGGCTCCTAGATGACATCCACAAGATGAAATTCCTACTATACATTTCACTTGGTCACTGTAAGAGGCTATGCTATCTTCCTGGCAGCATCATAAGACTTGTGCATCTAAGGTCTCTTGACATCGATGGATCAAATGTTAGTGTCATGCCTAAGGGGTTCAGTGAGTTAACAAATCTGAGATCACTTTATGGCTTCCCAGTACACGTGGACATGGATGCAAGCAATAGCTGGTGCAGTTTGCAAGAGCTAGAGCCTCTCTCTCAACTTAGGTATCTTACACTAGATGGCCTAGAGAAGGTGCAGGACAGCCGGATGGCTGAAAGGGCCATGATTAGCAGCAAATGGCACCTTGGGTATCTACAGATGAATTACAGTGCAAGTAGACATACTATAGATGAGGCAGAGCAGCAGCAACAACAGAGTGTGACCGAGGAAGTCTTGGAAAAGCTCTGCCCTCCAACCTGCCTAGAGAATCTAAGTGTGATAGGAGGATACATTGGTCGCCGGCTACAAGACTGGATGTGTGCTCCAGCATCGGCAGAGTTTAAGAGCCTAAGGTATTTGAGGCTGGAGAACCTGCCTTGCTGCACCCAGCTCCCTGATGGTCTGTGCTGCCTCCCAAGTTTGGAATTGCTGATCATCATAGACGCGCCAGCCATCAATCGTATTGGCCCCCAATTCCAAGCGTTATCGTCCATGGCAGCTGGAGGTTCCGCTGCTTGTACATCTGCACCGTTTCCGAAACTGAGAGAGCTATATCTGGTTGGGCTACGTGAGTGGGAGGAGTGGGAATGGAATGACTGCGAGGAGCATAATGAAGTGAAAACTGCCATAGCCATGCCTTGTCTGGAGGCACTCTGAATCGAAAACTGCAAGCTGGGCTGTCTTCCACCAGGCCTCGCTAGCACCAAGAGGCATACTCTTAGACAACTACACCTGTACGAGCTCTCCAACCTGACACATGTGGAGAACATCCCTTCAGTTGTGGAACTTGACGTGTTTGATTGCCCTGAGCTGAAGAAGATCACAACACTTGACAGCAGGTTGCAGAAGATTAGGATCATTCGTTGCACAAAGCTGGAGGTTCTAGAAGGTGTACCAGCACTCGACAGCCTCGTACTGGCGGACGCCACCATGGACACGCTTCCAGGATACCTGCGAGCTGTAAACCCAAGGTATCTCAAGTTGGATTGCAACAAGAAGCTATACGAATCCTCCTCATCTTCAGGTAGCTCCGAATGGGACAAGATCAGCCACATTGGAAAGCACAAGATTGTCTGCCTCGAAGATTGAGATGCAGACCAAGACTGGTAACTGCGTAGCTGCATCGAAGATGGCGCTTGTGTTCAGGTAAATTGCATTCTTTCACTAGGCCGGAAGTGAGTTTTCATATTTATTAATTATTGCTTGTACTCTGATTCGTTGCAGGAAAAGCTTTCATTGGACCACACATAGAACAGCAGGGCATCAAAATATATGGTGATTAAACAAAGTGTTGCTACAGCCTGCCCGTCCGACGAGAGGACATCTACAATTGTTAACAATCAATTGTCTTGGAACAAAAGAAAAACACAGTGCTTGTGTTCACCTTTTCCCTGTTCAAGTCTGGCCAAAGTATGTGTATTATCATCTCTTATATTTGTAATTATATTTTTTCTCTCAAATTATTACGTATTTTCAAGTGTCATTATGCACTGACCGTGTAACTAATGTATGCAGGCATCCAGGATCCTTATGGCAGACACATGATGTTAGCTTGCACTGGCAAGTGGGACTGAGATCTGCTTGGTAGAAGCTCATCTCCAGCATGCAGTACACATACTCTGTTCACATGCAGACTGTCGACATACTGCCAAATCATGGTTACGGATACCGTCTCCTGCACTCTTGTAGTCTTGACCATGTATAATTGTACACTCCATATATATTTTTTGAAGTAATGGACCTATATATATTTGCACAAGTAATGGGCCTGAAGTCGTGGATCTTGTAACGGACTGAATGTGTGGTGATGAAAGCAGACATGCAGTAAGAACATTGTATTCTGACCTGATTGATGATAATGAAATCAGGCATCCCAATCATTATTGTTGGTCGATCTTACTCAGCCTCCTCAATGTAATGGCGATTATGGAGTTTTCCTCTCCTCTAATCTCGTGGCAACACCATATGTGTCCTCTGCTTCTGTCGCCTGCACCGCACCAATATATGAAGGCCCTCTGCTTTGTGAGGGAGGCAGAGCAAATAGGCAGGACGAGCCTTCACTGTGTCTGCAAAGCTGTGACTGAGGAATATAATGGTTCATTCATACTTCTTTGGAAGCACGGGACAGCATGCAGTTCAGTCAACAGAGTAAGGACGAAGTATAACAGAGCAGAAACAAAGCAGAGCAGAGCACAGCCACCCTCTCGTCACTTGGTTTATGGGTCTTGCATCAGAACACCTCTGTCGCTTGGGCTCTCAGCCTGTACGAGGAGCTTATACCAACCTGATATATATGTGCAGAAGTTCCCATCAGTTGTTGAGCTTGACGTGTCCCTCTGCCCCAAGCCCAAGAGGCCCACTGGCCTCAGCAGATCGCACAAGATTAGTATCCTCCGCTGTCCAAATCTGCAGGTGCTTCAATGTGTCCCCGCACTCGACATATGCAATCGATTGTCCCATGCTCAAAAGGATCAACAACCTCTCTTGGTTACAGAAAATCAGGATCATCGGTTGCCCAAACGAGCAGGTGCTAAAAGGAGTCCCATCACTAGACAGCATGAGATGAGACTATTGATGCCACCATGGAGACACTTTCAGAATACCGAACATCAGTAAGCCTGAGGTATCTCAGGTCGATGAAGTCCTTGTTAAGAGCCACCTCATCTGAGAAGGACAAGATCAGTCGACTACTTTTCGTGAAGATGAAGACTAATTGTTGTACCGCCAGATCAGAAATGAAGCAAGTGTATATTTAGCCAGGGCCAGGTAGTTAATAATTTTTCTCTCGCAACACATTGCTCGTCTTAGTATGGATTTTTGATGCAACCAACTTTATTTATGCTGGGATCCTATTCCTTTCTGCCTTGGGAGCGTGTGGGGGCAGGGATCATCATCTCTAGCTGGCAGATTTAATTTCAGTTTTCTACACTGTCACACAGAGGACAGATGCAAAGACACGATCGACCACCTAGTGCCAAATCATGAGAAGCCAAAGAAGCCGGTGCGTGGTCGAGGCGCTGGAAAGGAAAGGGTGCCGGCCTCTGCAGATTTTGGCTGGACGACTCCAAATTTCGTGTCCAGATCAGGAGGGAGCAAAACGTTTTATTTTTTAGCTTTTTACCTACGTGCTATTATAAAAGATGGTCGTAACCTACGTGCCACTAAAAAGTTCGAATACATCCTGATGCCACTAGCCTTAACTCTTTTGTCCCACACGCCATTTCGTCCATCTTCTATCTGATTTTTGCCATTTGTCAGACCTGACATGTGGGTCTCCCCTATAAAAATGTCTAAAATACCCTTCTCTCGTAACCCTATCCTCTACTTCCTTTCTCTCTCTGTCCGGTGGAACCAAGCTGTAAGTGATCAGGGCACATTCCTCCTCAACCTGTCAGTGACCCAAGTCAACACGCCCCCCGCGCGTCCCCTGCCGCTGAGGATCTCAACCATCACGTAGGCGAGCGACCACACGTCAGTGAGCGTGTCACGGTCGGGGTTCTTCACCATCACCTTCAGCGCCATGTACACAAGGGTTCCGGCGAAGGTCTGCGGCAGGTCCTTCTCGTTCACAGACTTGGCCACCGTGTAGTTGCAGATCTTGACGGCGCCGCTGTCGCCCACGAGGGTGTTATCGGGCTTCATGCCTCGGTGGACGACCAAGTTGCACATCTTGACGACGACACCGCATTCTCCCTGGCTGAGCATGTGCCCCTCCTGATTGTACCCGCGGGCATTGGCCATGCGCCGCTTCCGCCTGCGGGCCCTGGGCTTCGCCGCCGGGGAGAGGCGCGGAAGACGAAGGCCGAGTGCTCCCCGGTGGTCGCGTCGGCCGCTGGCGCGTCCTCGCCCTCGCCTCGCTGCGCTGCCCCTCTCCCTTTCCCCACTCCTCACCGCAGAGCGCGCAGGTCACCATAGCCGGCGAGCAGAGCTCGCAGCGCCGCCATGTTCACTGTCTACAACCATCCTTGGCCTAAACCAAAACCACTGCCGGCTCCGCCTACTTCTCCTTCGTGCCAAGAGCTTGCTCGACGAAGGCATCCTCCATCGTTCGCTGCTGCGTGCACATGCCAGCCATGGCCGTGATCGAGCAGAGCTCCGGCCGCCACACGAGGAATCCTGTGGCGAGCCTGCTCTGCGCCGTCTCCGGCTTGCCGTCCGCACCGACCACCTAGCCCGCCTTAACGCGCATGCGCCGCTCCCTTCCCCGGGTCATGGTCACCGCCATGGGCCACTGCCGCCAGGAGCCACCGTAGCCGTCAGCTGCTGCGCATGGGCAGTGCGCCCCGCGCCATCTCCCACTCGGCCGCGAGCTTCCACGGGTGCGCACGGGTGCCCTGGTGCTCGCGCACGGTAGCAGGCTAATAAGAGCCTCGAGGCCGCGGCCGCTGCTACGTCCGTCCGGCGCGGCGGCATGAAGCAGAGGAGCGTCAAGGACCTCATGTTCGGTGGCGTAGACGAGGAGATCAGGGTCCTGCGCAGTGAGCTCCGGATGGCGATGCAGGGTGAGGAGAGGAGCCGCAAGGTGCCGACGACCTCTCCGCTGCGCTCTCCAATGAGAGAAAAAGTAAAATGAGGAAAAAAAGAAAAGGACTAAAAGAAAAGGAGAAAATAAATTCCTGAGGATATTTTAGACTTTTTCCGCTGCGGTTTGACACCGATAGAGACAAATATGGACGGAATGGCATGTGGGACAAAAGAGTTAAGGCCAGTGGCACCAGGGTATATTCGAACTTTTTAGTGGCCTATAGATCAGGACTATCTTTTATAATGGCACACAAGTAAAAGGTTCTTTATTTTTCTTGGCCATGCAGGGACGCAGCGGGTGCCAGATATAATATTACTATATGATATTACATGGTGAATTAGCAGTGTTATACTATTACTATATGATATTACATGGTGAATTAGCAGAGTGTTGATATAACGAGCTGGAGATGTGAGACTGCAGCTCTAGCTGTATCCTTGCTTGCACACGTATATATTTGGTATTAGAAGTGCTAGCGTCTGGACGTCTGGACAGACGCTCGTGTTCGGACGTCCGAACGCTACACTCCATTTCGCGCTCCACACGGGACCTGCCCCGCCCGAGCAACAAGAGGGGAAGGACGCATGACGCGTACGATTCGGTAGGACCCAGCCACTGCGTCATATGGATGCCTTGCCATCGTCGGGAGAGACGATGTAGCAGAAGTTAGGGAGGGGAGATGCAACACTTGATCTACTTTTAAAACATCCAAATACAATAGTTGCAACATAAGTCTGAAGGCAGTTGAAACACTTGAAACATGCTTTTGAAGCACTTGAAAAAAACACATGAAAAACACTTGAAAACCATTGCAACCATACGTAAACATCCAAATAAAACACATGCAACGTATGTGTGAAACATGTGCAACATCCAGATAAATACACTTACAACTTGCATCCGGAAAACACCGATGAATCATACATCTGGAACATCTGAAACACTCAAAACATACGGTTCCAACATGCCTCTAATGCAATTGCAATATATGCAACATGTGCAACATCCTCCGATCTACGTTTGTAACATCCATATGAAACAAATGCAATATACATCTGAAACGCCTGAAACACTTAAAACATACATATGCAACATAGGGGAGGGGAAGGCTGGCCGGTCGATTCTAGCCGCTGGGATGGGGGGAGTTCGGTCACCAGGGTGAGAGAGGGCGCCGCCAGGGGTGGGGAGGACGCTGGGCCGGGGTGGGCAGAGCCGCCCAATCTCCTGCAACACCGCTCGTGCTCCATGGATCTCGCCTGGGTGGAGAAGAGGGCCACCGGATCCGCGGGCGTTGGGCGCTCCCGGTGGGTGCAGATGCCGGGGTGGGGAAGGTGCCACTGCGGTAGGGGAGGAGGCCGGCGAAGAGGACGCCAGGGTGGGGGAGTGCACCGTCGGCGGCCATGCCCGCGCGTCGGAGTAGGCGTGGGGCGCGAGCGCGGAAGGGAGGAGGAAGCGAGGGACTGGGTGTGGGAGCAAGCATAGTGAAGCGTCGGTCCATTCCGGATGTCTTAATTGGAGCATTACCAATTTGGTTTCTCTGAGTTGTACAACTAATGGAGATGTGAGGACTTGCGCATGTACAGTACATACTAGTGTTGTGTGCATGATTTCGACTTATTGACAGGTTTTACTATAGAACATGTATGTTCCCATCCCTCCCTTGTTAATTAATGTAGTCTATTGATTGAGAACAGGTATATTATACCCACCCATATGGCAAAAAACTATACACCCACAAGGCAAGCACACCACCCCCTTAAATTTGCTCCAGCTTCGCCCCTACATCCGCGGTTGTGAAAATCCTCACCACCAAGGTGAGTGTCACCAGCTGTGGCCTAGATCTCAAAGGTACGTTCCTCATTGGGAACAAGAAAAATTGGGTGGGGACGGTCCTCATGAAGCAACCTTGGGCACCCGTCGTGGATTTGTGGCACGCGTCCATGCACATGCATCCAATGTATAAGAGAGATGTAGTTTTTTTTCCATTATTCCTCCTAAATTTAAGCAATAGTTTCGTTTGTTAGATGGACACGTGTACCAAACTCATTGCGGGTGGCCATAGTTCAATTTTTCCCCGACAAGATAGATATCAAAAGTTCTGCCTCCAATGCAAAAGGTCAAATATAAAAACGTTCTTGTCAAGGCCATAATTAAGCAACAGCAGCAGCCGTCGGCTCACAGATGATGGATCCGCCTAACATTTGGACCAGCGATTACCCTAGCACCCTTGGTGGCCTGTCTCTGGGAGTCATTGAAGTAGGCCAGGCGGGAACAGCGACAACAGCGTTCTTGAATGAAGGTGTGTTGATGAACCAAACGTTGTGTAACAAACCCCACGCCGCAAGCAAACAGACATGCACGGTCAAAGCATGTTTGTCCTCTGCTTTTCCGATCCCTGCCTACACCTCCTTATCATCTCTGCAGATGCTCTGCTTTGCATCAGTATATCATATACACGGATACTCTGCTTTGCAAGGAAGGAAAACATAACGGGTCAGAGCAGATCACAACCCAAATGGCCGGCCGGCACCAGCCTCCTTGCGACGCCATGTATGCATGCATGGGTGCGATTGAGAAAGCATAGATGTAGATGCAGTTACCACAGATTACCACAAATTATCAGTCACCATGTAAGGCATAATTTGCGATGTGCGCAACTATGACCTGCGTCCGGCATGCATATGCTGTCTGTGTACAAAAACCCATGCGGTGAGATTCCAGAATTCATTCGAGAAGGAAGGAAGGAAGGAAGGAAGGAATTGTCTCCATCTAGATCAAAAACCCAGTATCAAGTTCCAGAAGCAAGGAATTCCTGCGTTGCGTTGCCGATGGACATTGGGAAAGAACAACTACGAGTAGTGCATAGGATAGGGTATTCCAGTTCCAGCAATGTCTCTGCTTTCTAGAACAAGCACAATTAGGTTATTATTATATTTAATTAACAGTGCAGTTATCAATCATCAAGCAAGGTAGATCTATGAGTAATATATTGTAGTGCGCCATATATATAGCAGCAGCAAGCTGGTTCCATTATTATTATTGGGAACTCGAGCTGTACTTGCCTCTACACAACTATATACTACTCTACTAGTAATGCCTGCTTCCATTCTAAGTGACAAGGCCCTCGATTCTTTATCATGATTTTTCTTGTGTGAAAATTTCGTGAGAGAAGTACCGTATATTGAATTTAGAGAACAGTGTAGCCTCTCTATTGATGGACATCGAGAAGGGTGGTTTGAGATTGCAAAAGCGATGGAGGGTGGTTTAGAGAGTCTATAGGAGCCTGGGTTTTTCTTTTTCTTTTCTTCTAAATTTTATGATAAAGAGGTTTGTAGAGATCCTCTTGGAGATTCTTTAAGTTTATTTCGCTAGCTACCTATACATGCATGCTTGTTGTATTCAGATTAATGCAGGATCATGACTGTATAATGTATCTGTAGCGAATCTACGTGTTAACAGCAATTTCTATATGGATCCTTCCTAAAAAGGAAAAAGAAGGAGTGAAATAGGTAACTAGAGCGAGGCTATCTCTATTCCTGTGTTAGTTTTTAAACTCCCCGCTGATCGCCGTTTGATGTAAGTATAATAAACGTCTTGATCTTTAAACTCCCTGCTGCACGCCTTTTGGTGTAAGTAAGCATACTAAACGTCTTGATCTTTAAGCTACATTGCTGATCCTTATTGTCTTTAAAACAACCCATAGATCTAGTTTGAAAATAGAATGATCGCAATCCAAATTACGAGGATCCAGTATAAGGTGATTTAGTGCGAGTGGCACAAAAGAATAAATGATCCTATGGTTGTTTCGACGAAACAAGTGTGATTTTGATGTACATGTATATGTACAGGACGGACGTTTGCTCGAGCCATGGCCGCCATCTTGGATGCTATGGGACCCTACGTGATGGAGCTGATAGCCAACATGGCAACAGAAGAGGTGAAAATGTTGCTGGGTATATCCGGCGATATTGAGAAGCTAGAGAACAACATGAAAAGTATCAAATGCTTCCTTGCTGATGCTGAGAGGAAGCGCATCACTGAATTGAGTGTGCAAAGATGGGTGCAGAAGCTCAAGAATGCCATGTATGATGCCACTGACATCCTAGACCTATGCCAAATCGAAGCCGACAAGCAGAGCAAATCGAAAGGTAGCAGCTTTGGTTGAAAAGGCTCCGGGTTGCTGCCAGCCATTGCTCTCTTGCCTACGAAATCTTGTGTTCGCACACAAGATAAGCAGCCGCATCAAGGAGCTCAACCAGAGGCTGGACAACATATACAAAGAGGCTCACAAGTTCAATTTCGTCATCAATCTAGGCTCCCACCCTGAGCAGAGGATGTCCACTAGCAAGAAGATGACATCTGAGTTAGTTGAGTCAGCCATTGTTGGTGAGAAGATTGAGACAGAGGCTCACAAGTTCAACTTCGTCATCAATCTGAGTTTGTTGAGTCAGCCATTGTTGTGGAGCTTGGTTGAAAATGGCCATGATTAGTAGCAAGGAGCACCTTGATTACTTGGAACTACATTGGAGTAGCACTGGATTCATGGGATTGAGGGATGAAACCAACAAGAAGCAGCAGCAGCAGCAGCAGCGAGCCTTGGAGGAGGTAATTGAGAAGCTCAGCCCTCCATCCAGCATACGACATCTACACATTGAAGGATACTTTGGTAGCCGGCTACCAAATTGGATGATGGTTCCAGCTACATGGGTCTTTAAGAGCCTGAGGATTTTAAGGATGGACAAACTTTGTTGTTGCACCCAACTCCCTGACGGTCTGTGCCAGCTCCCTAGTTTGGAGACTCTGGCCATTATTGACGCACCTGCCATCAAGAGTGTTGGGCCTGAGTTCCAGTCACCCTCCTCCCTGGCAATGAGTCGAGGTATAGACGCCACTCCTAGATCAGTAGTAACATTTCCTAATCTGTCATTTATTCGTCTGGATGGCTTGAGTGATGGGAGGAGTGGGACTAGGAGGAGAGCGAGAGTGAGACTACAGAAGCTATGGCCATGCCTGCTCTCAAGGAGCTCATAATTCTTAGCTGCAAGCTAGCTTGTCTTCCACCAGTGCTCGCCAGTAGCAGGAGGCATGCTCTAAGAGAAGTGCGCCTGTACAAGCTGAGCAACCTGACATATATAGAGATTTTCCCTTCAGTCGTGCAACTTCAAGTATTCGACTGCCCCAAGCTGAAAAGGATCAGCGATCTCTCTAAGTTGCAAAAAATCGAGATCTTATACTGCCCAAATGTGGAGGTGCTAGGAGTCCCGTCACTTGACAGCATAGAGATGATGGACGGCACCATGGAGACGATTCCCGAATATCTGACAACAGTAACCCCAAGGTATTTCAAGTTGACATGCAGCGGGAAGTTGTACAAGTCCTTGTTAACAGGCACCAGCTCATGTGAGTACCACAAGATCAGCCATATCAAGTCATGCACTGTCGACTACTTTCGCAGAAGATGAAGATTAATTGCTGCACGGCCATATCAGAAATAAATCTCGTAGATAATCAGGGAACTAGTATTACTTTTTGCTCACAAGGCAGTGTACCTAGTCGTACTACTTTATGCAGTACCGCTTAGTACACACTCTATTTTTAAGTATCTTTATTCATTGATCGTGTAACTAATGTATGCAGGGAAGAGAGAGACCCATGGTGCTAGCTTGCAGTGGCCCGCGGGAGTGAGACCCGATCGGTAGAAGCTCGTCATCTGCACCAAACAATACACATACTCTGTTTTCTGAATTGCTCTGCCTACTACCAATGGGGAAGGGACTGGTCATACCCAGACTGTGTACAAAACATTGAAACAAGAAGCGAAGATGTTGGAAACCCTGCTGGTGATCTTGTAGTCTTGTGCATCTATATTTCTTCACTGCATAATTATTGTTTTGAAGTAATGGGCCTATGTACATTTGTTAAAGTAATGGACATCAGGTGCTGAACGGAATATCTGTGATGATGAAATCTTTTGTAGTGCAATAATAGCAGAAAGCGAGCGGACATGGAGCACGAATTTGGTAGGCTGATCCTGATAGACGTTCATGAAACCAAGCAAATCATTCTTGCTCGACCTGACTCGGCTTCCTTTATGTCGATTATCATGGGGCTGTCCTCTGCTTTCCCTATCTCTGCAGCAGCAGCGTATCCTGTGCCTTCTTGTATGTATGCATGGAATGGAATGGAACCGAACACGACCTGCCTATCTATGTATATGTATGCTTAATAATACTTCGAATCATGTGAAATGAGCAAAGAGGATGTAGATCAGAGCAGAAACAAAGCAGAGCAGATGCAGTGCCAAGGCACCCTGTAGCTTGGGCTCTCGGTGGCCCTGGACTCAGGCTGACACAGGAAAAAAGAAATCTCATGCGCAATGTATACCTCTTGGCATTACGGTATGGATAAGCAAGCCCAATCAATTTTGCCACGCACTCCGCCTGCAAACTAGTCTTACTAATCCATCATCAACTTGGCCAGTTGTGGTGATATATATGCAAAAGCGCCTATCAGCAAGAGTCAGCGTCAGGCACAATTAAATTTCTTGGCAACATTTTTTTTTTTGTCACTGATCATCTGATTGCACCATGCGGTCAATGGGTATATGCACAACGATGGTGCACCGCCACCAACTCTTGTTTAGAGTTATTTATATATCACCAGCTTTGCTTTCAACGACAAGACAAATTTCTCCACCTGCTACACCCAAACAATAGGGCAAGAGCTAGCTTCACCGATACAATAACAAACGTCTTCTTCTATTGGCTTGCCTTATAATTGACCTATATATACCTAGTCTTAAACTGGATGAGATGACCGAACATAATGCTCTTCTAAAAGTCACAAACTAAACGCTGAGTCGGATTGGTGTGACCTCTTTGGAGTTTAGCACTACTAGTATATATCTGTTGTACTGGTGATTAGGAAACCGGTAGAATTTTTAAGTAGATTAGGTTTGTACATTAATTGTTGTTTCATTTTGTACTATATAGAGGACAATGGAAGGGCTGCAAGTTGGTCGTAACAAATGCTCCTCAGCAGTCGGATTGGTGTGACCTTGGGAGTTTAGTACTGGCTACCTTTAGTGCGTACTCTAGTCTCTAGGAACAATGATAATGGCTGCAACTTCGACCAACCATGTGCTTAGTATGATTCTTTGTGTGACCTACTAGGAGGTTTACTCCCTTCGTATTTAAAAAAATAATATTTTAAATAAGCTAATAAGTTCCAAAAAAGCAAATAGTTGTTTGATTTCCATTAATACAAAAATGATTTAGCAGATTGTCCTTTAAATTTAGGAGTTGTGTAATAGCTCTATAAATAAGAGAATGACGGCTCCTAACCAGCTCATCTCTCTGGTTGTCATTCTTTATGTTTTCACATTATGTTAGTTGCCTACTTCTACTATTGCTGAGATCCACAGTGTGGGAGGTTAATACTCTGTCTGTGTTTGAGTTTTCTATAAGTTGTCCTCTATAAGAACTAGACCTGGTACATCTTGGAAATAAAGCAATCATGTTCTCTGAGATCTGGGTCTTTGATCTAAGATAATTTGAATTTGGATTTTCCGTTCTCTCTCCCCCCCTCTTCACTGTTTTGCTCGATGTTGAGTTCCCGAGGTTTTGGGGTTGTTGTGTTGGGTTGAATTCGTGCAAGGTCCTCAGATAAACATGCATGTCAAATGAATCGGGCAGATTCATCATAAGCATGATTTTTCACCCTTGGGAGGATTTCTTGAGAAAACCCCACTTCCCTTTGATGGATATTCAAATATGCTTCGTTTCCAGAGTTAGTGGGGTTTCATTGTCTGGGGATAACATCTAATACACCTAAGAATAATCTTTGCAGTGTTTGGGAATGTTTGGAGGCCATTTGATCGACTTCGAATTTTTGGGAAGAATTTCGAAGACCTGAGATGAGCAATCTGGCCAGACCGCCTAGTCCAACCGGCCAGGCCGGTTCTTCACTGTCCACCCAGCCTCCCATGTGCTCTAGCCGGCCAGACTACTCTCAGGGCCGGCCAGGCTGCCCCCGAGCCGACCAAGCCACCTCCGCAGGCTACCACCCGGCCAGACAGGGCCAACTGCCAGGCAGTAAGAGCATCGAGCTGGCCAAGCTGTCTGTCTCCCAGCTAACCAGCAGGCACAACCGGCTAGGCTGGTCACCCAACCAGGCAGGCTGGTTTGCCAGCACCTGTTTTTGGTGTGTTGTCCGTTTTCGCGAGTTCATGAGCTCCGGTTGTCCATTTTGTGTTTGGTTTGTTCCGTAAGCTTCCGGTTGTGTCAAGAAACATTTCCTCAAGTCAATAGTTGACTTAGGGGATTTTGAGTCGGGCTCTTCCTTCGTTGTGGTTGAAGTGGAGAGCACCGTTTCGGTTCTTGGTCTTGTGTTTGCTCTTTGGTTGTTGTGGCATCCCGCTGTGCTCTCCGTGAACATCCAGCCACTAGTTGGCTCAAGGGCATCACACTTTGAGTGTTTTGGTTTTTCTTAAGGGGGCTAGCCAAGCTAAGAGTATTGCGAGTTGGTGAGCTACAAGGAGGTTGGATCTACGTCAAGATTGATCTTGGAGCTAGCTATGGTTGGGAGTTCGATCTTCACGTACCTAAGATATAGACATATACAATGAGTTGCAAGAATGCTCAAAACTAAGATTAACTCTTAAGAAAATTGGTTTGGTTTTGATTTCTATTTAAAGCCCTTTCCTTGAAATAAAATCTTCAAAAGATGTTGAAAAATGAATTAACAACCTTTTGATTCAAAAATGTTTTTAAATGGGTTGTTTGGAAAAGGTCGATTAAAAAAATCAATTTGAGTTGTCTTATTTCAAATTTTATTGGAAAGGTGTTCAAAATGCTCTGAAGATATTTTACAAAAGTTTGTAAAGTTTGGTTCAAAGGTACCTTTTGCATTTGGAAAATGAGCGCTTTTGGTTTTAAATTTGAATTAAGTTTGATTTCAAAACAAAATTTGAAAAGAAAAGGTTTGATTGATTTCAAAAGTGTATTTCTAAAACAAGTCTTTCGAAAAGGGTTTGAACGATTTGAAAATTATTTGATTTGATCTCCCAAAAGGCTTATTCCAAAAAGAATTTGAAAATGTGGTGTAAATCTTTTATTTGACTTCAAAAAGAGAATGAAAATTGAAAACTTACTCTTTTCATTTCTAAAGAAGCTTTGAAATTGATTTGGGTTGATTTCGGAAGTCCCAAAAGAGTTCATTCAAAGTGATTTGAAAATAAAGTTCAAATGTTTCATTTGTTTTCTAAAATCTTATCGTGGGACGGTTGTTGTCTCCCGAGACCTCACTCACCCTGCCATCAGAAAAGAAAATAGATTCAATAAGAACATAGATCTCCAATAAATTCAAGAAGAGCAAACAAAGCAACAAAAAAATTCAAAGAGAATATAGATCAACAAGAACGGTCCCTACCCTTTGTGGGGTAAAAAAATAGTCGCACTCCCCCACAAACGACATGGTCCTTGTGCCCCTGGCTGCTGCTCGACGGCGCACCTGCTCCCTGGCCGCTGCTTGCCGCCCGCCTGGATCAGCAGCTGGAAGGAGCAGGAGGAGCGGCGGCGACCGGATCTGGGCGGATGGCACTTTCTTGCCCCGTGCTTTGTTGTGCTAGCGACGAAGCATTGCTGCGTGTGCGCACGAGGGCGACTGCGAGGTGCTGAGGTCTAGCGATTGCGAGTGCATGACGGCTGGGGAAGGGGGAAAAAAAAGATAGCAGGCCCTGTTTAGATTGTAAATTTTTGTAATCTGGACATTGTAGCATGTTTCGTTTGTATTTAACAAACTTTGTCCGATCATGGACTAACTAGACTCAAAAGATTCGTCTCGTGATTTACAACCAAACTGTGTAATTAGTTTTTTTTACCTACATTTAATGCTCTATGCATGCATCCAAAAATTGATGTGATAGAGAAAGAGTGAAAAAACTTGGAATTTTGAGGCAATCTAAACAAGATCTAGGATGGAGGTGTAGAGTCTAAACTCTCTGGTTCGTGAGACAGGAAAGAGGGGGAAAGATGTGTGGGAGGAAGAAGAAAGAGTCTTTTACCTGTGCCACTATGAAAGATATTTCTGATCTAGAGGCCATTAAAAAATTCGAACACATCTTGGTGCTATGACGCTAAACTTTCTTGCTCTTCACGTCATTCCGTCCACCTTCCGTCTGATTTTTGCCCAGCCAGTGAAACTCATATTGCCTAACATATTCCTTGGAGTCAGAAAACTATTCCCACTAGTCGGTTAAGTCTTTCGAGTACATTGTGTACTCAGGGTTTATTTTACTCCTGTTGCAGGTACAGCTTGAGGAGTAGCTCTTGTGTGGAGGATTCTTTTGATGGACACAGACAGATCCTTGTATTGATTCCGCGAGATGTTTATTTTCATTCCACTGTTTAATTATCGCACTCTGAACTCTGGTATTATAATAAATAATTTCTAAGAACTATTGTTGTATGAAATGGACTAAGTATTGTAAGCTCATACTTATTATTGGATTCTGGATGTAAAACGTGGATTGTTTTGATTTCTCCCTTGGGGTGTGCTCGACGAAACTGTCCGATGTAGCTCCCTTTCGAGATCTTTAGTGTCTAGTGGAAGACGGACACCTCCGAAAGCGTGTTATTTCGGGCGTTTCTGCCACACCGCTCGTGGTGCCTGGGGGGGGGAGCTTGTGCGCGCGCCGGCACGGTGGCCGGGGGAGCTTGCCGCGCCAAGGCGGTGGCCGGGACGGAGCTCCCGTGCGCGCCCGCGGTGGCCGGGGGGAGCCCGTGCGCGTGCTGGTGGCGGTTGCCGGGGCGGAGCTCGCTGCCGGTTGCTCGAAGCGCTGCTGTTGCAGGGGGTCGAGCTCGCGACAGCCGTCACGGTTTGTTGCGGGTTGCAAATGCGCGTCGGCGTCAATGGCGACGCCCACGTTTGCGAGCAGGGAACGAGTGAGGTCAGAGTGTGCCAGAGGGAGGGCGAGCAGAGGTCGGCGCACCGCCTCAAGAAGCCCGCGCCGCCGGTTCCGCCTAGCGCACCCCTCGTGCTCCTGGGGCCGACTGTGCCGCGCCTAGGGCCGACCATGCCGCGCCGCCGCGGCCTGCTAGCCGCCGCACGCGGTTGCACGCCGCCGCACACCAGCTGGCCACCGCCGTGAGCTCGCCGTGCTTGCCATGGCAGCCCAGTTGACGGGGTGCCGCGCGGCCTCCAATCCGGCGTGCAGGGCGGCGGCGTACACACGGGCACGGAGGCACGCAGAGTCGCGACACATGCAAGCTATCCCCGATCGGATAGAGGAGAGAGAAAAAATAAAATAATTGAGGATTAAAAGAAAAGGAAAAAATAAATCCATGAGGGTATTTTAAACTTTTTGCACCGCAGATTGATACCATTACCAGCGAAAGTGAACGGAATGGCATGGAAGATAAGAAAGTTTAACGTCATATCACCAGAATGTGTTTAAATTTTTTAGTAGCTCGTAGGACCATCTTTTATGGCAGGCAGAATGCTCGAGAAGGAATGGCCACTGCTTGTTGGAGCAGTGCTGCCGCGGAGTAGACGTGTGGGATAACCTGAGCGGACCCGCACTGCCTGTGCGGCTGCGCGTGGGGTGTGAGCACGCGGCGCTGGTGGTGCTGTGCTGTGCTGTCTGCAGACGACGACGCGTGGGACAGGAGCGGGCGCGTGTAATCAGCTGCTCGGTCGGTCCAACCAGCTCGACAACAACGTTCCAACTTTCAAGGCACGGAAACTTTATATAAATATAATATAATATAATAAATAAATAAGACAAAGAAACAAATAGATGATAGCATATTAACGTCGTACTAAGATTTTTTACATCTAAATCGCAAAGATTCTTGAGCTTCTCTCTACTTCCATAAACCGGCAACTATTTATTTCAATTAAATTTGGCAATTTATTTAATTATAAGATATAGCCATTAATTTCGAAGACGTCTACAAGAATTTATTTATTTGCTTCAAGCCAATATCAGCGGCATATAGCCATAGACAGATCATAGCCACGAGATCGCTAATATAGAATTAAGGGATCTGCTATATTTTAGATGTCTGAAATATAGCAGTCGTTCAGTCGACGGATTCCACCATCAGATTTGATAAACATCTCTCATAGCGCACAGATCTTGGAGAAGGATCATGGAACCACATGTCGCCTGCACAACGGCTGATACACATAGGAAAGGTGTAGAACTAAACACACGATTAGCACGTGTTCAACTACGATATGGAACAAAACTACACAACTAACTAGAATGTATGATGTTGTCGTTAAATCTCTGAACTATGAATCGCTTTTAATTTGTCATGCAAGATGTATGTCCCGTTACGACGCACGGATATATTTGCTAGCTGATCTCGCCGGGGCATGGCCGTACCTCCAGATCTTGCGTTGGATCCCGATTTAGCTGCACACCCCCGTCATCGGATCGGATTTTGTGCGTTCTTGTGTAAACTGGAAATAAATGGGGATTCCACTATCTCCCAACCAAACTTTTTATTAGAAAACAAGTTATCTTCAAGTTTTTTTTTCACACTTCTTATTGTTCATTCAGACAATTTCTGCGTGAGTTACAGCGGGATTCTTAGGTGTAATCGAACCGGAGTCTGAGTCAGTGTTCTAAGTTGTAATCAAACAGGATTCAGAGGTGTCCTTTGGTAATACGTGGAAGTAGAGATTATATATATATATATATATATATATATATATATATATATATATATATATATATATATATATATAGAGGGTAAGGCTATTCTGCAACTGGCTATAGAATAACTTATTATATAACCACCTTGATTTACGATAATATTTATACCAATTTACGATAACACGAATATGCATTTACGATACTCGTGTTGCTACAACTCACGGTGATATTTACGATAATGTTATAGTAAATCACTTAACAAGGAGTTACTGTAATCTCGTAAATTAGTATGGTAATTATCGTAACTCAAAGTGGTCATAGAATAAGTTATTTTATGACGAATAGTGTATATATATATATATATATACACACACGTACACACACATGAAGCTTGCAGGACACATGCTCCAAGGCGGTGGCGGAAGCTCGGCGGGCGGCCCAGACCGGCTGAGCGCTCTACCAGACTGCCTCCTCCACATCATCATGTCCTCCCTCAAGGCCCGACAGGCGGTGCAGTCGTGCTGACGTGCGTGCTGTCAACACGCTGGAGGCACCTGTGGCGGTCAGAGCCGTGCCTCGACGTCGACATCGTTGAGTTCAGGACCAAGGCGGCGACGCCTGTCTCCAGCAGTGGCGGCAGCGACAGCAGCTCTGACTCTGATGATTCCGACTCTGACTCGGGCAACAACCAGGACAAGGGTGAAGGGTGGGACGAATTCGAGGATTTCACTGTCAACCTCATGCTCCGTTGTAACATCGCTCTGCTAGATTCATTCAGGCTTGACATTGATAGGGGCAGCGAACCTCTGTTCTATGGTTGTTCGTCCAGCCGTGCAGCTCTAGGCAGCTGGGCATACAGCGGCCGACAAGCAGCAGCGTGGCTCCGTCGTGCGATGAAATACTGCACGCCTGGATCAGGTCATGCCATCAGTCAGCGTCAGGGACTGCATCTGAGCCCCAGTTCTTGGCGCCTCAAAAGGCTGCATCTCTGCCATGTACCTCTGGACGACTGTTTCGCGGAACATCTTAGTTCAGTGTGCCGCTCTTTGGAGGATTTGGAGCTGGGCCATTGCATCTGTGTGAGATCCGTTCGATCGCCTCCGACTCCCTCGAGAACCTGGTTCTGAAACGTTGCTTGTGGGGCAGATTCCTCTCTGACATTGTATCCCCGACATTGAAAACCTTGGTTATCAATGGCGGCTTCAATGAAAATCGCAACCTGCTGGCTATCTCGGCCCCCATGGTTGTCGATCTACACCTAGACGTCCATGGTGGCTGCTTCCGTGGAGGTATTTCGATGAATGAGATGCCATCCCTTGACAGGGCTTCGATTCGTCTACGTGGCCACAAATACAGTTTATCCAAAACTATGTCTGGAAGTAAACTTTGTAGTGTGTCTAATGCGATGAGTTTGGAGTTGTTAGGTGTCGGGAAGACGGTATGCATGCTCGCTCTTTGCTTTCTCTGCAAGTGTTCCATTTTGTTAATTTTTCACTGATAATGTGTTAGTGGCTATCGACGTGCTTCCAATGTGGTCCAGGTGCTCAGTAAGGAACCTGCATTCCAAGAATTCCAGAATCTGAGGAACTTGCTGCTGAGCGACTGTGATCTCAGTGATGACTTCCGCATATTGCGGCTCTTTCTTCGGGGTTCGCCTAATCTAGAGAAGGTCACTCTGCGGCACTGCAAGGTACTACACTGTAGCTTGGTTTTCTAGCTCCTTATGTAACCAACCAATGCAACAGAGTTCATCATTGATCTCACATCTTTTGTGTTCCCTACAGTTCCCAGGTGATTCTGAGCACAAGGAAGGAACGCGCAAACTGGACAAAACCTCATCTTCTGGTTGCTGCTGTGGCCTGGACTTTCTACGTGATGAGAACGTCGAGCTTGAAATCATACATAAAGATGGTGATGCCTGTCGATCTGCTGATGATCTTTTGCACGACCTACCAGATCCCAAAGGTACCACTGATGCTGTTCCTGAGGCTGCTACTGCTGCTGCTACTGAAGATTCGATGCCTCATTCAACTGGAGTTGGGCCTCGTCGGGGAGCTCGGCACAGGATGACCAGCGTGCGCATCTCGGGACCGGAATGGGAACGGCCCATGTAAAGTGGCTTGTTTATGTTGTGCAGCTACAGAGATATATAGATGAGTGTGTCTGAGGGAGAGGACAAGAAATGTATGAACTAATCAGGCCGAATTCCAGTTGAATCTGCCAGTATTCCTCGTCTGGCTGAACCCATCTCTATTCTTCTTCTACCTCCCGGTACTCTTAACCTCACTCTAATTCTGGTACCAAACACTCAAGGTTACATTAGACTCACCGAATTTAGTTAGCGTTATTGTTACTCCAGACCTTTTGGTGTCTCACTCAAGGTTCGTCGTTCATGTCGATTTTGACTCATTTCTAAATGATGTAAGCCTTTGCTTTGTTAATCTTGCCATTGAAATTTACTCTGTTTTCTTGCTTAAGGATAAGATTGCTTCTGGAGAATTTCTCTTTTAATGCCCTATATGAACTGTGTCCACTTGCATTTGCTTGTTTTCTTTCATTTTTTTTTTCTTATTGGAAGTGTTTCTAATCTTTTTTATTAAAAAACACTGAAAGCTTCAAAATGGGCATGGAAATTGCGTGCTCCCTTAACAAAGATATACATAGTTTCAAAGACTAAACACCAGCTCCAATTCATTAATGTTTTTTTTCTTTCATCAACGTATCCAGTATATTGTGTTGGCTTATGATTTAACTGTAAATTGGGCAAGACCTCTCCATCCTATAGAAATATAAAGAGTCACGACTGATACAGGGTCTTGGATACCTACTATCCATTTTATCTTACTTCTCTCTCCAAACCCACATATTTTGTTTACAATGTGCATGCTTCGATCGGGAAAAAAATCTGATGGGGACGGTCCCTGTTGTCGTCCGGTTGTTGATTACCTCCATTTTACTTGCAGTGTGGCTCCTCTCCTGTTAGCACCACTTGCAGGTGCTCCGGGCGACCACCGGTGAGCATGGAGGGCACATGCGGCGACGGCGCGACATGGGCGAGCATGGAGGGCACATGTTGCCGTAAAATTTGCACTGGCCGTTGATGTAACCGACTGGCCAGTATAAATACATTTACACTGGCGGTTGGTACAAGGCTACCACCAATGAAGATGCGTTTGTAGTGGCAGTTCTTCAGCCGACGTTAGTGAAAAACTGAAAATTCTCACTTGCCTTTCACACCAAAGATTCAAACAACTGCTAGTAAAGATAAAAAAAAAAGCTATCGTCAGTAAAAACCCTTTTTGTACGAGTGAAATGTTGACATATGATCCAAAGTGTGTTCAAGCAATTCACTTAGAAAATGTTGAGCACCTGTAGTGATGACGTCAACATTTCACTCTTGGAAGAACGTAACTCATGTTACTGTAAAAATAAGAACAGAGACAAATATACAAATTTCAGGTCCACATCAAACTTTCTAGTAAGATATATGTTCACAGGACTCGGAAGATATTTTCTTGAGTAGTCACAAGATAAGAAAACAGAGCATTGGGACTACAGCATACAGAGCAAAACCTTCATCTAGAAACGAGTCGATGGTATATGCTAATATGCTTTGCATTCTAAATACATCTGAAAGTATGGTAGAACATGTACTCAAATTTCAGATAAACAAGGAAATGGCAAGACACATACAAGGCCTAGACTAAGGATTTATGACAATAAAGTTTACTTGCCAATACACTGTCTCTATGACCTCATCGATAGACAAGTCAAAGCCTTGGCAGTGATGGCATCCGATTCACTGAAATACTTCTAGCAAAGTAAAGAGGCACATCGAGGCACAGATGAGCAATCGCGGGGGCCACGACAACACAGGGAGCATTATTCGAGCCACCAGCGACAACTAAGCGCTTCAGTGTGGGTGATGTGATCTCAGTGAGATAGTTCCACCAGCAGTTCTTCAGAACCAAGCTCTTCAGTGAGCCAGAGGTGATTGCTTGAAACGCACACGTGCAGTCCTCCAGCTCCAAATCCTCCAATGATCTGCACGCCGAACGGACATGGTTCCCGAAAGGAGCATCCAGAGCCACATTGCAGAGATGCAGCCTCTCGAGGCGCCATGAACTGGAGCTCAGTCCGTCAGCGTGCTGACGGGGAAGGTCGGGGGTGCAGTACTTCATGGCACGTCGGAGCCATCCACCTGCTTGTTTTTGGGACGAAAACCAGGTGCCCTGCTGTGAGTAACACGCAGGCTCAAGGACTCCAGCAGAGCCACGTTGCAGCGATGCATCAGGTTACTGGTGAAATCCTCGAAATCCTCCCACTCCTGGTTGGCACGGTCTTTGGAAGAAGCCGCCCCAGTCCTGCAGAACTCGTCATGGTCGACGTCGAGGCACGGCATGGAGCGCCAGAGGTGCCGCCAGCGCGTGGCCAGCACGCAGGTCTGCACTGCCTGCCGTGCCTTCAGGAATGATATGATGGTGTGGAGCAGGCTGTCCGGCAGAGCACTCAGCTGGTCTGCGTCGCTAGCTGAGCGTCCGCTGCCGCCTCTTTCACGGGCACGCTTTGTTGCTGTGTCCTCAATCTCCATGGTGCGTCCTGCTCGGAAAAATAAAGAAATGAACAAATCAATCTAGGTAAGAACACCAGAAAAACCTGTTCGATTACTAGATGAGCCGCGCTGCTAGATCAGAGACAGCACAAGATTTCAAGAGATGGCGAAGCATTGCTACAATAATCTTGATTCAATGAATTTTCCAACAACCTGCTTTCAGATTTTTTTTTCTTTTTGCAAATCCGTATACGCCAATGAACTAACTTCATATTCTATGTTCGCAATTTTTTTAACACTGTGGTAGAAGAATACGCAAAACAATAATCCTTGTTAGTGGCAGACCCAGAAACGCGACAAGAGGGGGCCTGAATAGTAAAGGGCTAAAAATCTTACTAACACTATTGCGCTATACTAAATTATGTAATAGATATAACCAGAAGGACAATTAGCAGTATTCATTTGGAATGCTCAAATATCATAAAGTACAAGTTTGTGGTAGGAAAGCATACCGAATAGAGCTCTAATAATTGATAACCAAAAGGCCAAAATGACCATTCATTCCTTGATTTCGTTCACTGTTAGTTTTCTATCCACGGCTACAAAGACAAACAACGAAAAAAGTGTCAGGGTGCTTACTAATTATCATGATGGAACTCATCGGTAGGCAATGCCTTGATTCCAACGTTGGTCAAAATTAAAACATACAACTATTCTTATACACTAATTCTACATCACCGTTGGGCAGAAATAGAATTAATGCATAAATCTTTAACTTTCATAACTGTTCTTACACACTAATTCTACATCACTGTTGAGCAGAAATAGAATTAATGCATAAATCATTAAAATTAACATATGTTCTTATACACTAATTCTACATCACCGTTGGACAGAAGTAGAATTAATGCATAAATCATTAAAATTATCAACTTTTCTTATACACTAATTCTACATCACCGTTGGGCAGAAGTAGAATTAATGCATAAATCATTAGCATTACGATATTGTTATTAACAACGTTGGTCAGAAAATAACAACATCATAATCATGTCAAAGCTCTTTTTCTCCAATTAAATATCACATTGGTTCAAAATAATTGGAGAATCAACATTTTCTTTAGCAGCGGAAAAACTTTTCTTTTCTCCAATTAAATACCACATTGATACAAATTAACTGGAGAATAAATCATTTCTCTAGCTGTGGAAAAACTTCTCCTTTTCTTGAATTTTACCCACAGGGAAAATTGTATTTTCTATTTCCTTTAATCAATTTCCAGGAAATGAACATTTACTGGAAAAACTTTTCTTTTCTCCAGTTTAAAATACCTTTTCATATTTTCTTTAAGCCTTTTATCCATTTTCCAGGAAATAAAACCTTTACTGGAAAATGAAAAAACGAAAAATATGACTCAATTGTTTCACTGTTCTTTCGGCCCAATACGGCAAGGCGGCCCACGGCCCATGCCCGCATGGGCGCTTTCAGCTCGCTCTCTCAGCCAAAGCCGCAACTGGCCTGGGCCGGAATTCGGCCCGGCGCGCAGACCACCGGCTGAAAGCCGGTCCATTCTTTCATCACCTTCAGATCTCATCCGACGGCTGCGCGGTGAGATCGGGCCGATCAAAAAGGGCGACGGGCGCCCTCCCCCGAAAACCCTAATTCATTTGCGCCTCTGCTCTCTCTCTCTCTCTCTTCGTTTCTCTCTTCGCCGCTCTCCCTCTTCTCTCCTCACACAACATCGAGGTGAGCGCAGGCGGTGGAGCAGCGAGCACGGCGCCGTCGCCGGACCCTCGCCGGCGTGCGCGTTCCCCAGCGGGTGAGCGCGCCGCCGTCGAGTGGCCTGGCCGCGGTGTCCCCTTGGCCGAGCTCGGCGAAAACCTTCCCGGCTCGGTCTTCTTCTCCCTCGCCGGCGAAACAGTTCGCCCAGTGCACGGCGAGATCTCTTTCCCTTTCTTCTTCCCCTTTCGGATTTGAGTTATTTTTCTCTGTTTTCTTTTCGCTTGTTCATCCGAAAAGAGGATCTAGGGTTAGGGTTCGGTTGAACCCGATTCGTGTTTTCTTTTTGTTTCTTTTCTTTTCTTATTTGTGCCGAATCCCCCTTTTCCCCTTCCTCGTTGCGAGTTAGGGTTAGGGTTCCGTTGAACCGATTCGGTTTTGATTCAAGATCTTGAGATAGGCCCCTTCCCACGGTCATTTCTTGGGTTAGGGTTCGCTCAAGTGCCGAGAAACCCTCTCTCGTTTTCTCGATCCGAATGGATCTTGTTTTCTTTTCTTTGTTTGACCGATTGGGGTTAGGGTTTGTGTGCGAAGCCCTGTTCTTTTCTCTTCTTTTGAATTTCCTTTCTTTTATTTTATTTCTTTTTCTTTTGGATTTAGGGTTCGGCTCTGTTTGTCTTAAGGTCGAAACCTTTCTTTTTCCCCTTTCTTTAACCCAATTAGGGTTAGGGTTAGGGAGTGTTTCTTTTTTTCTTTTCTTGCCGTGTCGGTCATGACACTTTTCCTTGTGATGGCGGTGTGGTGATCGGGTTCTAGTGACCTCCGCCACCCCCGGTCCCTTTTCCTTTCTTCTTTTACCCGGTTAGGGTTAGGATTACACAGAGGCAACTGTCTCTGATACCATTGTTAGGATCGATGATGTGTACCTCTGTGTAACCCGTAGATCCGGTGTGAGCCTTCTCACCCTTTGCGAGGATTCACCGCTCTGTCCATGACGCCACAGCAGCTTGGACGCCGGTGTAGGGGCAGCTCCGGGTCGGTGGCGAGACGGCGAGGTAGCGATGCCGTGGAGATCCAGAGGGGACGGTGGTGACCCTGCAGTGAGTCGACGGTGGTGGTGGGGGGCTCATCCCGTCGCTGGCAGCATCTCTTTAGGATCGGATTAGGGTTCCTGTAGGTGGGAGTGGCGGCTCCGTTCAACCTCGTAGTCCGAGCCCTCACCCCCACCTTCCTTTTATGTGTGCTGTGCGACAGGGGCCCACCAACCGGATTAGGGTTGGACTCCCCCGATCAGGGAGCAGAGATAAGGGCCCAATAGGTCGTTGGGGGTATTGGTGGAGATCAACTAATATTTCTTAGTCCTGGATCAGCAACTATGTCACTTATATTAAGCTCAATGCATGCTCTTTTTGGTTCAACACGACTCTCTAGTTTCAGCAGTAATCTTGGAAGCATCTTTCTTAATAAGAAATTTGTCCATTCTAGTGTGCAATAATGCAAATTGAATTATTATCACAGACTAAATGTAAATATGGTCCACAAATTCAGTATTCAGACATCAAACTTCAGAGAGTTCAGAGTTGCAAACCTAACAAAGAGGGTGAAGGGGCGGCAGCAGCCAGCCAGGAGCCGAGGGTCTGAGCTTGGTCCGGATCGGGAGATCGGGACCGTCGCCGCCTCGCCGGGATGCCGAGCGGCAAGCGCAGGGGAGAGGTTCACCGCTGCATGGGCAGGTAGGGAGCCGCCGCGTGGCAGCTGGAGGCCGATCCAGACGACGCAGAGCCGCAGAGAGAGAGCGTGAGCACCGAGCAGCGAGGTGGAGGAGCCGCCACGGCGCCGCCGCCCGGCCGGATGCCGAAGAAGAAAGCAGCGCAATGGCCTCGTGCGAAAAAAAGGGCGAGACCGTGACTCGCGACTCGCGAGATGCGAGCCTTGGCGTCGAAGGGGGCAGGCCTGTTTGCTGGGCTAAGTCACAAACCAGGGCTAGGCCTTCTAAACTTCCAATTTTTGAGATGTTATTGGGCCAGAATTAAAGAGGGGTAGTAGGTGCTACATGGGCTAAGTCATCATACTGTATATAAAAAGAAAAAAGTCTACACTACCTCACTCAACTTTTTTGAAAGTCTGTTTTTCCTCCCTTAACTTCAAAACCAGATAAACCACCTCCCTGAATTTTTAAAACCGTTCGTTTTACCTCCCTGACCGGTTATAAGCGATTTTCAAAGGCAGTTTTGCCTTTATCTTTTTTATTTATTTCGGCTGAATCTTTGAAAAATCATAATAAATCACACAGAAATCATAAAATGGAAAATCTAATTCTTTTGGACTCCACATGAGTAGATATACGTAGTGAACATATAATATGGTATACTTTAGTACAAATTTTTTGTTGTAGATTTATTTAGGTGTATGCTTGTTAAAAAAGTATTTATAAATCTATAACTAAGTTATACATGATCTAATGAATATAAAATTTTTACTATAATTCAAGCATACAATAATTAGTTCACCATAAAAATTGCACAACAATTGGACCATAGCAACTGCAGCTATGAATTAATAATAGAAAAGCATAGATCTAAAGCTACAACAAAAAACTTTTGCTAAAGCATACCATATTATATGTTCACGGTATAGATCTACTCATGTGGAGTCCAACAAAATTGGACTTTTCATTTTATGATTTTTCTGTGGTTTACTATGATTTTTTAAAAATTTAGCCAAAATAAATAAAAAAAAAGACAAAACCGCCTTTGAAAACTGCTTATAACCGGTCAGGGAGGTAAAACGAACAGTTTTAAAAGTTCAGGGAGGTGGTTTATCCGGTTTTAGAGTTCAGGGAGAAAAAAATAGACTTTCGCAAAAGGTGAGGGAGGCAATGTGGATTTTTTCCTATATAAAAATACAGAAATGTATTAGTTTTGTGCTACATGTTAAAATATTAAAGAAGTAGATTCTATCTCTTTTTTTTGTTTTTTTTAGTATCATATATCTCTTATATGGCATATCAAGAAAAACATGCTGCTACAATAATCTTGATCCAATGATTTTCCAACAACCTGCTTTCAGATTTATTTTTCTTTTCTTTTTGTAAATCCATATATGCCAATGAACTGATTTTATATTCTATGTTCGCATTTTTTTAACACTGTGCTAGAAGAATACACAAAACAATAATCCTTGCATTGTGTACTGGCAACCAAAGGAGTTCAGATCAGTAATCTCTTTCCCTTTTTAGAGGGGGTGGCCTTGCTGCATTTTGGCCGAGTGATTGAGATGTCTGCTTTGCCAAATGCCATCACACGCGTCGAAAAATTGTTGTA